TACTGACACACACACACACATATACACGCACACGCACACACGCACAAACACGCACACACACGCGCACACACGCATACGCCCGCACACGCCCACACTACACACAAACACACAAACATACATTCGCACACACACGCACACACACTCATACACACACACGCACACGCAAGCGCATACGCTCAGCGTTCACGTCAACGAGCACGCACATGCACACGAACACCACACACGCAAACAAACACACAAAACATACACACACGCATACACACATACACGTGCACGCGAATGCACACAAACGCACGCACCCGTGCACACGCGGGTGTGAGCGCGCTCAAGCACCCACACCCATGCGCGTGCACGAACACTTCTGCTCAACAACGAGCCGCGCGCCATCCCCGCGGCACCCGCCAGGAGCAACTATCGAGCGTAGCAGCGTGAGAAAGGGAAGGGAGGCGGCCAACAAACAAGGGCACTCACACGCACACGCACAGGGACGCGCACGACCGTCATACACACACGTACGCACAACCACACATGCACACATGCACACACACACACTCTTTTTACTGCAGCGGCCCATGGACGTCAATGCGGCGAAAGCTAAAACGGGGCGCGTTCGAGCGTCACACATGTAAACGCACACGCACACACACACACGCACACGCCCATACATTCACAACGCAATGCCAACCATCCACAAACGAACGTCGGCACCGTTCTTCCATCGCGAAGATGACAACCGCGGAGTGCTGTGTTTGGGCGACCAGGGGTACGCTAATGAGGCGATAACAAGAGAAGGGACGCAAGGGCAAAAAGGATAACAGTAGAAAACATGAGCAACCATCAAACAGACTAACTGCCATGGCACCCGCAGCAGCAGGCTTCGAACGCATCATGAAGCACGAGCTGCCCGCCGCTGGCGCTTCTCGGGGCAGCGAACCCCGTGTCGTGCTGAAGTGCGCTGCCTGTTGACACTGCGTGGATCCTTCGACCCTGAGCGATCGCGACTTCTCGATGGCGCCGCCCGTTGGACACCGGCCGATTCTAGGCCACAAGCTGCGTTCACCTTGGAACGCCCGCGAAGGAGCGGCCACCGCGCCGACACGACACCAACCTGCCGTAAGAAGAAAATGGTGAAGGTACTGTCCCTGTCGCACCGCCCCAGGCCTACGCCCCCTGGGGGATAGGCCCTGCTTGACCACCCCGTCGACTAGTTCTTTGCCCTCCCATTGAAGAAGACCTTGGCGCCGTTGCTCAATAAAAGAAGGGAGCGACCTGCCTTACACTGTCCTCCCAACTTCTCCTCCCTATCTGGGAGAGAGGACCGGCGAGGCTCCCGAACCCTCCACGAAGCCTCCCGAACTTTACAAATTCCTACTGGGAGCGCTATAGGATCCCCATGGATCCACATGACAGCTCTTTGGGATCCCTACGAGTTCCGAACGGGAGCCTTGTGGGAACCCAGTGGAAGCCCAATCGGAGCCCTATGGGTCCCTGCGAGAGCCCTATAGGAACCCTGTGGCACTGTGGGATCCCTAAAAAACCCTATGGGAACCCGACGGGATACCTTACGGAACCCGATGGGGGCCCCATGGGGTCTGCACGGAACCCTACGGGACACCCGCGGATCCTTATGGGAGGCATATCAAAAACCGAAGGGTGCCCGACGGGATTCCTTGCAGAACCCTACGGGACCCTTCAGGGATCCCTACGTCGACCTGTGGGAGCTCTACGGGGTCCCACCGGATCCCGGTGAGAGCCTAATAGGAGCCTTACGGGATCCCTACGGAACGTTAGGGCCACCCAAGGATCCCTATGGTAGCTCCGCGCGAGCCCTGTGGGATACTGGGGGACCCTTGTGGGAACCCTCGGGGATGGGATTCCTATTGGTAGTAGTAGTAGTTGTAACAGTAGTAGTAATAATAATAATAATTATTATTATTATTATTAGTAATAGTAGTAGTAGTAGTAGTAGTCGTAGTGGTAGTGGTAGTAGTAGTAGTAGTAGTAGTAGTAGTAGTAGTAGTAGTAGTAGTAGTAGTAGTAGTAGTAGTAGTAGAAGTAGTAGTAGTAGTAGTAGTAGTAGTAGTAGTAGTAGTAGTAGTAGTAGTAGTATTAGTATTAGTAGTAGTAGTAGTAGTAGTAGCAGTAGTAGTAGTAGTAGTAGTAGTAGTAGTAGTAGTAGTAGTAATACTAGTAATACTATTAGTAGTAATAGTAGTACTAATAGTAGTTGTAGTAGACTTATTAGTAGTTGTAGTAGAAGTAGTACGAGTAGTCGTAATAGTAGTCGTAGTAATAGCCGTAGTAGTAGTAGTAGTAATAATAATAATAGTGGTAACAGTAGTAGTAGCCGTAGTGGTGGTAATAATACACGTAGTGGAACTATTGGTGGTAGTAGTAGTAATGATAGTGGTAGTAGTGGTGGTCGTAGTAGTAGTAGTAGTAGTAGTAGTAGTAGTAGTAGTAGTAGTAGTAGTAGTAGTAGTAGTAGTAGTAGTAGTAGTAGTAGTAGTAGTAGTAGTAGTAGTAGTAGTAGTAGTAGTAGTAGTAGTAGTAGTAGTAGTAGTAGTAGTAGTAAGTAGTAGTAGTAGTAGTAGTAGTAGTAGTAGTAGTAGTAGTAGTAGTAGTAGTAGTAGTAGTAGTAGTAGTAGTAGTAGTAGTAGTAGTAGTAGTAGTAGTAGTAGTAGTAGTAGTAGTAGTAGTAGTAGTAGTAGTAGTAGTAGTAGTAGTAGTAGTAGTAGTAGTAGTAGTCGTCGTGATGACAGTCGGCGTGGTAGTGATACTACTAAGTTGTAGTAATCGTAGTAGTGCTAGTATAGTAGTAGTACAGTAGTAGTAGTAGTAGTAGTAGTAGTAGTAGTAGTAGTCGTAGTAGTAGTAGTAGTAGTAGTAGTAGTAGTAGTAGTAGTAGTAGTAGTAGTAGTAGTAGTAGTAGTAGTAGTAGTAGTAGTAGTAGTAGTAGTAGTAGTAGTAGTAGTAGTAGTAGTAGTAGTAGTAGTAGTAGTAGTAGTAGTAGTAATAGTGGTCGTAGTAGTAGTAGTAGTAGTAGTAGAAGAAGAAGTAGTAGTAGTAGTCGTAGTAGTAGTAGTAGTAGTAGTAGTAGTGGTAAGACTAGTAATGGTAGTAAAAGTACTAGTAATGAAACTCGCAATACCAATAGTGTAAAGAGTCGTAGGAGTAAGGGTAGTAACCGGAAGCATAGTAATAGTAGTAGTAATAAAAGTAATTCGTGATACAAGACGCCCGAAGAAATAGTGGCAGTAGTAATAATACCGGTGATCGGACTACTACCACTAATACTAGTTGCAAAGGTAGTCGCAGTACTTAGAAATAGCCGTGGTCGTAGTAGTGGTAATAGTAGCAACAGTAGGAATAGTAACCGTAGTAGTAGTGGTAGTATTCAAAAACATAGTAGCAACCATCGTAGTATTAGTAATAGTCGTCGTCATAATGCTAATATTTGTAGTCCTCGTCGTACTCGTAGTTGTAATGGTAACCGTCTTAGTAGTAGTAGTAGTAGTAGTAGTTGTTGTTGTTGTTGTAGTAGTTGTAGTTGTAGTGGTGATAGTAGTAGTAGTAGTAATAGTAGTAGTAAAAGTAGTAGTAGTAGTAGTAGTAGTAGTAGTAGTAGTAGTAGTGGTAGTAGTACTAGTAGTAGTAGTAGTAGTAGTAGTAGTAGTAGTAGTAGTAGTAGTAGTAGTCGTCATAGTAACAATCGTAATATAAATAACAATTATGATGCCCGCAGCAGCCGTAATGGCCGCAGTCACAATCAACAGCTTAAGAGTAAAAGTAGCGGCAGCACCTGCACCAGTAGTAGTAGTAGCGGAAATAGCAACATACGTAGAAGTAGTAGTAGCGCTGGAAGTAGCAAAAGACGTAGAAATGGTAGTATCAGTGGTCGTAAAAGTAATCGTAGTAGTAGTGGTAATAGTAATAGAAAGAATAGTAGAGAGTAGTAGTAATGGTAATCGTGGTGATAATAAAAAAAAAAACTAAAACAAAACTTAGCACTAGCAGTACCACCGGTAGAAGCTACATAACGTACTGGTAGTCGTTGTAATCGTGCGACAACTGTTGGGATTCCGAACCGTAGTCGTACAAATCGTAGCCGTCGTACGAGGAGGAATAGTAACATAAATATGAGGAATCGTAGTAGTACGTGGTAGTAGCAGTAGTAGTAGTAGTAGTAGTCGTAGTAGTCGTAGTAGTCGTAGTAGTAGTAGTAGTAGTAGTAGTAGTAGTAGTAGTAGTAGTAGTAGTAGTAGTAGTAGTAGTCGTAGTAGCAGTAGTAGCAGTAGTAATAGAAGTAGCAGTAGCAGTAGTAGTAGTAGTAGTAATAGTAGTAGTAGTAGTAGCAGTACTTCGGGGGCACTAAAGTTTTTGACCATAAGATGAGAATTGCCTCGCTGGTCACGCGTGCAGCGGAGGACCGACGAGGATGCAAAGGTGCCTTGATGCGGATTCGCGAGCCTTTTGTGGGCCCTCTGGGACGGCCAACCAGTGAACCGAGAGCGACCGCATTGGAGAAGGATGCCCAGGGTCTCGCGGCATCAATGCAACAAGGAATACAATGAAACATCGCGTTGGCATGATAAGGACAGGGTCGATGGGGATGATGGCACGGACGATCAAACGTGACCCAAGCGGAGTGGTTTACTGTGAATGGGTTCAAGTCGGAGCGTTGTCCGGCCCTATTTTAAATGGGGCGGAGTACTTATCACCCTGTTTTAAATATATATTATTATATTCTTACAGGGCGAGAGCCCATCGGAGTCGAACCGCCGCCCGACCCAGAACATGTCGCTAAGATTCTACGGGGGGGCAGGGCGTCGAGAGCATGATGTCTTATGGTCAAAACTATAGTACCCCCCGTGCGGACTTTTCTCACCTGCGCGGCCGACGGCCAGGGCAGATGGAGTGCTCACCCGCGCGGCAAACAGCCGACGCTGATGAATTGTCCACCTGTGAACGCGCCAATACGGCCCAGGGGCTTGGCCCGCTCAGAAGCCCGTGGCCGCGCCCTTCTTGCGCGCCACTTCCCTGCAGACGCGCTTCATCAGCTTCGCCTGCGCCGCCCCCGCGGACTGCGCCTTCTTGCTCTTCGCGACGCTCCGAACCCGCGCCCTGTACGCCGTCTTCCCCGGCACGGGCCGCTTCTTCGCGGCGTCGTCCAAGTCCATGGGCCGCAGCTTCCGACGCAGCCAAGACCAGCACCGCTCTGCGGGGTTCAAGTCAGGGGACTTTGCTGGCATCTTCCACGGCTTAACCCCCGCCGCCTTCGCCGCGGCGTTGCTGACCTTCGCCCGCAAGAAAGACTCGCTGTCGCAGAGGACGGACCACGGGCCCTTCTTCCTCTTCGGGTTCACCGACTTCACGGCCTTCACGAGGTCGCCCCGGTTCACGATCTTCGCCCGCAGAAGGGCGGGTGGCAGTGGCACTGTCTGGCTTGCGCGCCGCAACGGGCCTTGAACTGCTCTAGCCACGCCACAGCGTCGGGCACCGTGGGGAAACCCGGGAAGAGGTCCTTGTTCCCGCGGAGCCTCTTGGTCCTTGCCTCGATCTCCGCTGTCTGCTTGTCCCGTGCCTCTCGCTCTCTGCAGGCGTCAACGTTCCTCTTTTTCGCTAAGACCCCGTCCCGTGTCTTGTAGAGGTAACCGTCGTAGGTGCCGCGCGAGAGCTTGTGCGCCTGCCGCAAGTCCTGCGCCCGCCGGCTCTTCACGGCGTAGGTGCAAGCTGCGTCCGTCCAGGCGGGCTCGTAATTGCCGCCCGTGCACTGCCGGCCCTCCTCGCCCCTGACCGTGCCCAACTTATCTGCCCAACAATAGAACATGCCCCTGTTGAGGCTGTCCTGCAGCCGTTTCCGACAAAAGCCACCGCCTAGCAAGTCGTTCGCGTCTGCTCTCGGGCCCGTCCACCCCTTGAAGGCGAAGCTGCGGCTCGTCCTGTCCACAGGTTGCGTGAACTGCAGCATGAGGTGGACGTGCAGACGCCCCGTCTTCGTCCGCTCCAGCGTCGCGCACCAGTACCGCACCTTCCAAGCCTTCTGCTTCGAGCGCACGTGCGCCAGAAACTGCCGCCACTGCGGCAGGCCCTGCACCCCGAAATACGTGAGCAGCACGCCCGCGGACTGGATGCGGTAGGCTTTCTTGGAGACCTCCCGGACGATCAGATCCTGGAAGGTTTCGCCAGGCGCGCCGTCAGCAGCGGCCGCCCCTGCAGGCGCCTCGGGCTGCTCTGCGCGCTTCGGGCGGCCCCTCGGTTTCTTGGCCTGGTCCCAACGCTCCTTCGCGGCGTTCAGCTGCTTCGCGTGCTCGTCTGCCCCGCCCTTGTCCGGGTGCGCCTTGCGGAGCACCTTTCGAAAGGCTGCGATCACCTCGCTGTCCTGGGAGTCCCTGTGGAGGCGAACCACAACCGAGTACGCCGCAGCAGCCGTGACGAGCAACTTCACCAAAGCCCTCCGGGCTTGCACTGCGCCAGTCAAGCCCATGACCAACAGCAGAGCAAATCCTTGCCAAGGTCTTGAGCCAAACCGGCTGCAAAGATGATGGAGATGACGATGATGATTGGCGGCGGCGAGAACCCATTTTGCCCTTCGGGGGTACTAAAGTTTGTGACCATAAGATGAGAAGTGCCTCGCTGGTCACGCGTGCCGCGGAGGACCGATGAGGATGCAAAGGTGCTTTGATCCGGATTCGCGAGCCTTTGTGGGCCCTCTGGGGCGGCCAACCAGTGAACGGAGAGCGACCGCATGGGAGAAGGATGCCCAGGGTCTCACGGCATCAATGCAACAAGGAATACAATGAAACATCGCGTTGGCATGATAAGGACAGGGTCGATGGGGATGATGACACGGACGATCGAACGTGACCCAAGCGGAGTGGTTTACTGTGAATGGGTTCAAGTCGGAGTGTTTTCCGGCCCTATTCTAAATGGGACGGAGTAGTGATCACCCGGTTAGAAAATTGTATATAATTATATTCTTACAGGGTGAGAGCCCATCGGAGTCGAACCGCCGCCCGACCCAAAACATGTCGCTAGTATTCTTCGGGGGGGCAGGGGGCGTCGAGAGCATGACGTCTTATGGTCAAAACTATAGTACCCCCCGTGTAGTAGTAGTAATAGGAATAGTAATCGTAGTAGTAGTAGTAGTAGTAGTAGTAGTAGTAGTAGTAGTAGTAGTAGTAGTAGTAGTAGTAGTAGTAGTAGTAGTAGTAGTAGTAGTAGTAGTAGTAGTAGTAGTTGCAATAGTTTTATAGTAATGCCAGTAGTCCTGGTACGCAGATGGTCGCGGCATTAACAATATCAAAAAATAGTGGTAACAAAGGTAGCAAAACATCCGTAACAGTCGTAGCAATACTTATAGCAGTAGTCGTGGTCGTGGTATTCATATTGTAGCCACTTCCGTAGCAGGTGTAATAGAAAGTTCAGTCGGGGTTTAGGGTAACATTGAAACATGTTATGCGCATTGGTAACACTAGAAAACTAAACGTAGGAGTGGAAGTAGTAATTTTTAGTAGTGATACTATGACCAGTCATAAGACTCGAAGTGACAGCGGTAGTAGTACCGGTAGCAATATGAGCAGTAGTAGTGGTAGTAGTAGTAGTAGTAGTAGTAGTAGTAGTAGTAGTAGTAGTAGTAGTAGTAGTAGTAGTAGTAGTAGTAATAGTAGTAGTAGTAGTAGTAGTAGTAGTAATAGTAGTAGCAGCTGAAGGACCACTAGACATAGAAATCGTAGTAGTAGTCGTACAATATGTAATACACATAGTGAAGTAGTAGTAGTAGTAGTAGTAGTAGTAGTAGTAGTAGTAGTAGTAGTAGTAGTAGTAGTAGTAGTAGTAGTAGTAGTAGTAGTAGTAGTAGTAGTAGTAGTAGTAGTAGTAGTAGTAGTAGTAGTAGTAGTAGTAGTAGTAGTAGTAGTAGTAGTAGTAGTAGTAGTAGTAGTAGTAGTAGTAGTAGTAGTAGTAGTAGTAGTAGTAGTAGTAGTAGTAGTAGTAGTAGTAGTAGTAGTAGTAGTACTAGTAGTAGTAGTAGTCGTAGCAACCGTAGTCGTAGAGGTAGCCTTCGTATTAGTAGTAGTCGTAGTCGTAGAAATAATCGCAATCGTAATGGCAGGAGCCTCGTAATCGCAATCGTAATCGTAGAAATAATAAGGATAATAGCGCGCCTCGTAATACTAACAGTAACGCGCGAATCGTAGGGAGAGTAGGGAAGCGAAGCGGGGCACTGGAAACAGAAGTAGCAACGTTAATCGTCACAGGACTTGTAGATCGTAAGGGTAGTAGCGGTAGTAGCGGTATTATTATTATTAGTAGTAGTAGTAGTAATAGTAGTAGTAATAGTAGTGGTCGTAGTAGAAGTAGTAGTGGTAGTGGTAGTAATAGTAGCAGCAGTAGTAGTAAAAGTAGTAGTAGTAGTAGTAGTCGTAGTAGTAATAGTAGTGATAGTATGCGGTAGAAATGGCAGTGGTCGTCGTCGTAGTAGCATTGGTGGTACCCGTGCTGATACTCGTAGTAGTAGCACTTGTAATAGGAGTACGAGGAGTGCTAGTTGTAGTCGTAGAAATAGAACTCGTAGTAGTAATACGGGTAATGCGAGTAGTAATCGTAGTAGTAGTAGTAATCGTAGTAGCAATCGCAGCCGGAATGGTACTCGTAGTCGTAGTGGTATTAGTTGCAGCAGTAGTAGTAGTAGTAGTAGTAGTAGTAGTAGTAGTAGTAGTAGTAGTAGTAGTAGTAGTAGTCGTAGTAGTAGTAGTAGTAGTAGTAGTAGTAGTAGTCGTAGTAGTAGTAGTGGTAGTAGTAGTAGTAGTAGTAGTAGAAATGATAATAGGCGTAGTAGTAGTCGCTGCAGCAGCAGTAGCAGTAGTAGTAGCGGTCGAAGACTTAATAGAAGTAGTAGCTCGGCTCGTAGTGCTCGTGGTAACAGCAGTAGTAATCGCAGTCGGATTGTTAATGGTTCCGATCGTACAGTCGGTGGGCGGCCACAAGAAAGTAGCCACACGAAACCCACACCTGAGACCCCAAGACGTCCATTGATCTTTGGTGTGGGGGAGTCGGGTGCCCCACAGCAAACACATCGAACCAAATACACCCAGGGCGCCTTAGATGCAACCAGGGTGGTTCTTGGCATGGGTCCCCGCGGTGGTAGTAGTAGTAACAATAGTAGTAGCAGTAGTAGTAGTAGCAGTAGTAGTGACAGCAGTAATTGTAGTAGAAGCAATAGTAGTAGAAATTGACCTAGTGTAGTAGTAGTAGTCGTAATAATAGTGGTAGTAGTAGTAGTAGTAGTAGTAGTAGTAGTAGTCGTCGTCGTCGTCGTCGTCGTCGTCGTCGTCGTCGTCGTCGTCGTCGTCGTCGTCGTCGTCGTCGTCACAATCATAATAGTTGCAGCTGTAGTAGCAGTAGGGGGCGTAGTCATGATAGCAATACTCGTAGTAGTCGTACGATTCGGAGTAGCAGGAGCAGTCGTATCAACAGAAGTAGGTGGCAACGGTACTCGAATTAATAGTAGCCGTGCTAATAAGATCAGCCGTCGCAGTAGTAGAAGTAGTAATCGTACCCGTAGTAATAATAGTAGTAGCCGTACAAATAGTAGTAGCAATAATCGTAATTAGTAGACATCGTGATCGTATTGGTAGTAGTAGTAATGATACGTGTAGTCGAACTAGTAGTAGTAGTAGTAGTAGTAGTAGTAGTAGTAGTAGTAGTAATAAAGGTAGTGACACGTAGTAGTAGTAATTGTAGTAGTAGTAGTAGTAGTAGTAGTAGTCGTAGTAGATGGCAAGTTTCAAATAATACTCGTGCTCGGGCAGGTAGTCGTAGAAGTAGTAATAGCAGTCGCAGTCGTGGAAGCAATTGTAGTAGAAATGATGTGAATAATCGCAACCGTAATCGTAGTGATAGTAGTAGTGGCAGTAGTACTGGTAGCAACTGTCGTTGTAGTGATTGTATTACTAGTCGCCTCAATACCCGCACCGCAGTAGTAGTAGTAGTAGTAGTCGTAGTAGTAGTAGTAGTAGTAGTAGTAATAGCGGCCGCAGCAACAACAGAAATAGCTGTAGCAGGGAATAGTAGCAGCCGAAGCGGTAGTGGCAGAAGTCGTAGTAGGCGTAATAATACTCGTGGGGGTGGTACTTGCAGTAGTAGTAGTAGTAGTAGTAGTAGTAAAAGTAGTAGTAGTAGTAGTAGAAGTAGTAGTCGTAGTAGTAGTAGTAGTAGTAGTAGTAGTAGTAGTAGTAGTAGTAGTAGTAGTAGTAGTAGTAGTAGTAGTAGTAGTAGTAGTAGTAGTAGTAGTAGTAGTAGTAGTAGTAGTAGTAGTAGTAGTAGTAGTAGTAGTAGTAGTAGTAGTAGTAGTAGTAGTAGTAGTAGTAGTAGTAGTAGTAGTAGTAGTAGTAGTAGTAGTAGTAGTAGTAGTCGTAGTAGTAGTAGTGAAAGTAGTAGTAGTAGTAGTAGTAGTAGTAGTAGTAGAAGTCGTAAAGGTAGTCGTAGCAGTGGTAGTAGTAGTAGTAGTAGTAGTAGTAGTAGTAGGAGTAGTAGTAGTAGTAGTAGTAGTAGTAGTAGTAGTAGTAGTGGTGGTGGCCGCCGTAGTAATAGTATAGGTGATCAGCGTACTGATGGTGGTAGTGGTAACATAGGTCCTGGTAGTAATAGTAGTGGTAGTAGTAGTGATAGTAGTAGTAGTAGTAGTAGTAGTAGTAGTAGTAGTAGTAGTAGTAGTAGTAGTACTAGTACTAGTACAAGTAGTGGCAGTAGTAGTAGTAGTCTTAGCAGTAGTATATGCAAGAGTAAGGGTAATATGAGAAGTAAAAATATTCGCCGCCGTAATAGTAAGAGTGGTTCTAATAGTAGTAGTAGTAGTAGTAGTAGTAGTAGTAGTAGTAGTAGTAGTAGTAGTAGTAGCGCAGGTAGTCGTAGTACAACCCGTAGTAGTAGTAGTAGTAGTAGTAGTAGTAGTAGTAGTAGTAGTAGTAGTAGTAGTAGTAGTAGGAGTAGTCGTAGTAGTAGTAGTAGGAGTAGTCGTAGTAGTAGTAGCAGTAGTAGTAGTAGTAGTAGTAGTAGTAGTAGTAGTAATAGCCGGGGTAGTAAAGTGATAGCAGTCGTGGTAGTAGTAGTAGTAGTAGTAGTAGTCGTCGTCGTAGTAGTAGTAGTAGCAGCAGCAGCAGTAGTAGTAGTAGTAGTAGTTGCAGTAGTAGTAGTAGTAGTAGTAGTCGTCGTCGTCGTCGTCGTCGTCGTCGTAGTAGGAGTCGTAGTACTCATAGTCGCCGTAGTAATAGTCGTAAAAGTAACCGTAACAGTCGTCGTAGTAGTCGTACTAGTACTGGCAGTAGTAGTAGTAGTAGTAGTAGTAGTCGTAGTAGTAGTAGTAATAAACGTAGTCGTCGTAGCAGTAGTAGTAATAGCAATCGTAGTAGTAGCAGAATTTGTATTCATAATGGTATCCGTGGCAGTAGTCGTAGTAGTAGTAGTAATAATAATAGTAAATGTACG